TCATGTGTTCATAACGAATCCCAATGTTATGAAATCAGTTAGAGGATTGTCTTGTCTTTGATCTTTCTCGCATACTAAACTCACTAGCATTTAAGCATCTAAGGGATCATTATATACGTAAATAATTTTCTTGCATTTTACATCAGATCCATGCGATTGTGTTTTGTTCCAATTGTGGTTGGTTCAGTTGTTGAATATCGATATCTCATGGAGATTGCACAAGGTTTCTGATTGTATGGGCAGTGCAGAGCCAGAATTATTTTTTATTGGGGGCATAAATAAATAAACGAGAGCATATATAATTTTATGATTGGGGGCATCAATGGTTAGCTTTAATAAATTATACGAATTTTTAAAATTTATTGGGGGCATATGACCCCAACTTAATCAAAGTGGCTCTACCACTGTGTATGGGACTCCTCAAGCCTTTCAAGGTAATTATTCATCCTGTGAAACACAAACTTGTATATATTGTTTGATACTTAAAAACAAAGAACAAAGCTCATAATATCAGATTTTGATAAGTGATTATGAAACATTTATCTGAATCCAGTTTTCTTGGATAATCATAATTAAAACTTTTTTCAGGATTATGTACATACACCTTGAATCAACGATAAAGAATTCATAAGTCCATATTGTCAACATGATAAGAAGAAAATGAAGCATGATTTATTTTTAAAGCAACTCTCAGAAATTATCCTCAGATAAGATAGATGTGTTGCTGGCTTATTGTTTTCCTGATTCACAGGGGAAAAATCAGAATTCTGTTAGGACATATATATTCTTACAATTTACAACTACACAATATAAATAATTATTATATTTTTATTAAAGATACATATACCACCATATATCATAGTCGCCCAAAGCCAATTTGCTTCTGTCTTTGTCTTTGTTATCATACGGAGTGCACTAATTTTGTCATTATGTACCGCTAACATTATACTTATATTTTCATGGTGTAAATCCTCAATCACACCTAAAAAGTCAATATCTTCAGTAATGACCAAAATGTTCTTCTTATCCTCAAGTGCGTTCATGTATATCCTCTTAGCCATATACATGTCAGCTACATTTGTGTTTCGTATAATTTGTTCTAAGACAAAAAGAGAAGAACCCAAACATGTTAATCTTTGAAAAATATCCAATACTGACTGGTTAATTATACTAGGATTAAGTCCGCGCTTCGCATAATTTTAATTTATGTTCGTGTTTTTATATATTTTATATGCTATTTTAAAAACAAATAATTTGTTTGATAATTTTCTTTTCTTAGTTTGATAGTTACTTTATTTTATTGTTTTTTGTGTTAATAATGTGTGTGTTATGTTAGTTATCCATATTATGTTTCTATATAACAAAAATTTCTCCTAATTATATGCAATTGTAAACAATGATTAAAGTTACATTTATTTTGTAATACAATTGCATAAATACTAGATAATTATTGATTTTATAATTAATTTTAATAGTATTTTTATATGAATGAAATTTCACATTAAATATACTAAATTATATTAATATGTCCTATCTAACCGGTCCAACATCAGCTAAGATACTTTGGTTTTAATATAAAAAAAATTGAATTATAATATGTATGAAAATATTTAAATTTTTTTTATTTTAACAAAATTAAGATCAAAGAAAGATGAGATCAGAAATATAATGTTTAGTAACATAAGTAATATTATGTATTAAATTTTTATAAATATGTTGATAAGAAATAGAAAGAGAAAGAATATCTTTACAAATTAAATGTTTGAGTATTACATATATAATTGATATAAAGTAATTTCTAACCAAGTTAATGTTAATAGCATATGATGTGATTAAAAAAATTCCTGAGAAGCTTTATGAGATTGTCACCTCAGCAACATATAATAATTTGGTTATTTTTTTGACTAGGGGCATATAATAATTTTGTTTTGGTAATTTGCGGAATAACATTTAACAAAACATTATAACAAACGAACAAAAACATTAAAGATAAGAGTTTCTAAAAATATTTTTAAAATAATGTTATAATATTTGAAGCTATATGATATGTTTACTGAACATACTATAGAGTAAAGAATTTATTTATGAAAAAAAAAAATTGAAACCAATAGAATTCTCTAAGATTTAGTTGGTTTAAAAAATTATAGTTGCATATTAATTATCACATGTATCTTTGATAGTTTGAAGAACGATTCTTGGTTTCACCCTTAAGGATGAATTTTTTTATTTACCCCCTTTTATTTTAACTAATAAGATTCAGCCAAGTAATAAAATTAATGACGGTAATTTATTAGAACGTTTTAAATTTTATTTTCTAATGGAGGAAAACTAAATCCTAAATTAGAAATAGTGAATCAAAGCATAATATCAAACATTTTTTTATAATTTATTTTTAATAAACATATATTTTTACATAATTATTTGTTCTATTTTTAAAATTTTAAACCCTAATCTGTAAACCTAAAAAATAAAATAATAAACCTTAAACTTTAATCCCTAAACTCTAAATTCTAATATGTTAACCCTACAAATATATAAAAATAAATATATATATATATTATTTATTAATATATATATATATAAATACATATTTTTAATAAAAGATTTGAGTAAGTGTTTTAATCTTTTAATTTTAATTTTTTATTTTAATTTAAAATAATATTAGATGGCACATTCTATTCATATATATGAAAAGAGGTGAGCCCTCTCCCACAGCTCGCCACATGAGCATTCTAGAGACTAACAAGTGTCTATTTTAAAAATAAATTCAATGACATTTATTTTAATTTTTAATTTATTAAGTGTAAATTCCATCTGAAAAATTTCATCAGTCCTTTTTTAAGAAACATCTACATTTTCAATCATATCTTTTCATCTTTTTCTTCTTTTCAATTTTTTCATCTAAAAAAATATATAAATTTAGATTTAAAAGACGTTGTTTTCAATTTTTTAGTCTTGGTGTTCTGCTAAAAAAATATAATCTCATTTGAAGGAAAAAAACAAATTAAATTTGATTTTATGATATTGGGGCTTGCTCTATAAATATGTGAAGTCAGTTTGAAGAGGTTGCGAGAAACATCATCTAAAGGTTTAATGATAGTTCAGGGTTTAACATAACATTTTTTTTCTTTTCTTTTTAACATAATGTTCATAATTAATAGTTACATTGATATTAAGGTTTTCCACATTTCTAATAAAAATAAATAAATAATATTTCTAACTCTTTGGTATTTGTTTAAGATTTTTAATATTTTTTGTATTAATTTGATATTTTTTTCCGGCTTATCAATATCATAAATACTTTTTTTCAAAGCTCGTTCTAAATGTAAAGATGTATTGTTTTCTTTATTCAAAGATTTTGCGGTTTTTATGAGTCAACTATGATATTATTATAGCTGCATTTCATTGTGAAACATGAAGCATGAGGTGATTCTTGCAGAATTGGCAATTATGCATGTCATAAACATGAGAACTTTTTTTTTATAGAGATTTTTGTTTTAAAATATAATACCAAATAATTCAGCAAATTACCATATTTTTATAATTAAATACGTGTATATCTCAACACAAACAATTTTAAAAATATTATGCGAAACAAAATCTACGCGTATGTGCGAATACAAACCTAGTTTGTTAAAATAAGAGAGGGTAAATAAAATGATTCACCCTTTTGGGTGAACCCAAAAAAAATTCTAGTTTGAAATATTAACATAGGAGATGTCTACCTATATTGATTATAGATCTAATCGTATTACGTACTCTGATGATCTTTTCAACATGTAATAATTTAATAAAATGATGTTCTCTATAAGAATTCGATAACATATATGTGGAGGTATTTTGATCAATTAACTTTGTTTAGAGAAACAAAATAATTATAAAACACTCTGGTATTATATGAGTCATTGCTTAGTTATCGAAGAAGTCAATTTCTCGATAAATCAGAGGAAAATAATACAGAACATAAAACGTGTTCGTCAACCTACAGTGTGGCAATCGAAAACGTGCACACCTTGGAATTAATAACTCTAAAGTTTTCTCAAATCCCAATTTCTAACAGCCAAATCAAATCAGTGGGCCTAAAACAAGCTCACTGTTACAACTAGCCTAGGGACCAATTTACATTAGGCAACTTAAAAAACTAAAAAAACCCCATTTGCATATGCATATAGGTTTTTAGGTTTAATTTGTTCGTATCATGACTATATTCAGTATATCAGTTTCTAGAATTTAAACTTTCTTCTTTGTTAACATTCAATCTTTGAAATATACATATAGAGATCAATACTAATAACTTTTTTCGTTAAGATCAAGACTAATAACTTGTTAAGGTTGACTTTATAAAACATTTTAGGTTGTTAATTTGCTTATGATATATATATATATATATATATATATTTGAAAAAAAGTGTTGCCTTTTTTCATAAGAAGAACTCAAAGTATAACCGAAAATGTATAATAAAATCGAATAAAAATAATTTTAACAGAAATAAAAAATCAAAAGAATCAGATTTATCTTTATTTAAATAATTATGATCCAAAACAACTTAAATCCGACTTCAATCAAAATACCTTGATCCACATTTGATGTTTTTCTACAGAGTTTTTCTATGGTCAACGTATATATATACTGTACTTATTTTTTTTTCTGTTCTACTTTTGTTTTAAATTTGGTTTTAACAAGTCGACGTAATGAAGACAGATAATTTAACTCCTACAAATTGCAACTCCTTAATTAGCAATCTTGCCTGTTCTACGTACTAGCCCGAGTCTGATCCTATTTTTCATCTATTACATCCAATCACATTCTCTTATTCCAACTCAGTAGATTTAATCCAATCCTTTTATGAATGTTTCAACTTTCAAATGTATACAAACTCTTTAATCTCTAAATTCTCCAATAACAACATTTTTGATTCTCTAAATAAAAATCTCTCCACTCCACGTTTTCAATTATTATTCATAAACTATCTCACTGAAATCTATCAAAAAAAATAAAAATGACGTCGCATGGTGAAGAAATCGAAGAAGAAGAAATATCAAGAATTGAGAAAGGCAAAGGAAAAGATTGCCAAGGAGGAATCGAGACAGTTATATGCACTTCTCCCAGCATTGTTTGCCTTACCCAAAAGGTAGAAAACAATTTTTTTTTAATATAAAATTTTATTACATAGTTGAAATGGTGATAAGTATTTTGAACAAATTAGTTTATGGCTATTAAAATTGGTTACAGTTGATAGCAGAGATGGTTGGGACGTATTTCGTAATATTCTCCGGATGTGGAGTGGTGGTAGTGAATGTGTTGTACGGTGGAAGAGTGACGTTTCCAGGAGTTTGTATAACTTGGGGTCTCATTGTTATGGTCATGATTTATTCTACGGGTCACATCTCTGGTGCACATTTCAATCCTGCCGTCACCTTCACTTTCGCCATTTTCCGGCGATTTCCCTGGTATCAGGTAATCTCTATTCTGTATTTCATCTTTGAATAATATCTAGATTGTTTCGAACACTAAGTTCTGGGTTTACATATATTATATGTGATTTTTTCTTTTTAAGCATTTCATTCTCTCATAAAGGATTACAAAACTTTCCACCTAGCTATTGCAAAAAAAGATAGCAAAATGATAACAAAATTGCAAATGTAAGCATACCAGATAGATATTCTGGTCATTGTAAATTCATAGTTGAGAAAAATTCCAAGTAGGATGGTGCAAAATGTGTTTATTGCCTGTCCTAGCCTGAAATTTGGTTAGAAATGGGACTGAATAGTTAAGAGATATAAGTAACATATAAGAGACATAGACCAATTTTTTTCAATTAGTTTTAAATTGGTCAAACAGCCGTTTCAGCATTTTGCGTTTACTCTTAATTTTTTTTTTTTTTCATTTAAGCTTGTGATTAACAAAATATTTTCTTAAAGATAATATATAAAGCTATAAAAATTACAAGTTAATTTATAAAACATATACACTTTAAATGTAAAAACAGATGCTAAACATATTTTTGAAACCTATATTATGCTAATTGGATTTGATATTTGAATAATGAAAGTGAATCGTATCATATGTTTGGGCAGGTACCATTATATATAGGTGCACAACTTGTGGGATCCTTACTAGCGAGTTTGACACTGAGACTAATGTTCAAAGTCACACCAGAAGCTTACTTCGGAACAACTCCAATTGATTCCGCTGCACGAGCGCTTGTCGCAGAGATCATTATTTCATTCCTTCTTATGTTTGTTATCTCCGGCGTTGCCACCGATAATCGTGCGGTTAGTGTTTTCTATATCACCATTCTCTAGAACTGAAATGGCCAGAAAAATATCTATGACATGATTCAACTAAAAGAAGAAAAACAGTTGGATTTTCGTGCTGATGGATATATATTTTTATTGCTTGCTATAAATATTTTCAATATCTTTGACAGATCGGAGAATTAGCTGGAATTGCGGTAGGAATGACTATAATGTTGAACGTCTTTGTGGCCGGGTAAAAATTCTTTTCTTGAAAACATTTTTTTCATATTTCTACTAACATAAACAATTATTAAAAAAAATATTAGTTTGATTTGTAAATGATGATAGACCGATTTCCGGAGCATCGATGAATCCAGCAAGAAGTCTAGGACCTGCGATTGTGATGGGAGTATATAAAAACATATGGGTTTACATTGTTGGTCCTATACTCGGAGTTATGGCCGGAGGTTTTGTTTACAACTTTATCAGATTTACAGATAAGCCACTCAGAGAACTCACAAGGAGCAGTTCTTTTCTACGTACCGTTTCTCCAAAAAACAATGCTTCTAGTTCTAAGTGCTAATTTTTTTATTAATCATAGATTTATTATGTATAAACAGATCTCTTCATATCTTTTACTAAGGAAAAAATGTCGACAAAATATTTAACATTTCAAATTTTGTCAATTATAAACACACTCTCTTATTTCGATTAAAAGAAAGAAATACAAACTGTTTCATGAAACATACTTTTTTCGATCTGTAGCCAAATGGTACAATACAACGGTATCTCCACATTTCATAATCATTTATCTATGTACGTTAACTCACAAACCGTTAATTTCCTGAAAAATTGCCTCATTTAATTTGTATTATTTGATGTAGAAATATTTAAAAATATTTGGTCAATCACTGGACTGAAGAGGCTTCCACAGACTTGAGTCTATATCAAAACCATTTACTTAAGTTTCATATAAATTCTAACAACTTGGTTTAACCAAACCTAATCAAACTAATATATCAATGTGTTTTTCGGTCACATTATGATGTATACCCTAACGATTCGGTTATTTTGGACACAATATCCGGTATAACCTGAAATTATTGAAGAGGGAACAATATGTTGTTGTTATGATGAACTTTGCTATCTCCCACATCATCTTTTCACATTCGAAAAACTTTAAGACCTCTTGTAGATCTTTATCCATGTTTTAGATATCCTATGATTTCTGGAATTTCATCCCTAGTTTCCTATAAATTTATACAAAAATAGTGATATTATTGCAAATAGACACAAACTAGTTAAATTGACGAAAATGATAAAGTGGTTCAAATTGTACCCTTTTTAGGGAATAGTACGTTGACCACAGTAAAACAAAATTTCAAAAACCAGATTGACCATTGACTTACCGAATTCGACCCATAATTTTCCCCCATTATCCTTGCCCTGAGTCGACCAAACAGGCAAATTAAAGACCATATTTTTTAAGCTCATTTATTTTATTTTAACTTTATAAAAAAAGTCTTTCTATACTAATTTTCTTTATTTTTCTTCCATTATCCAGCAATTTCATCTTTTAGTTTATAGATAACTAGATGATTGTCCACGTGATAAGTTGATTGCGATTATTTATGATTATAATAAAATAATATATTTTTGTTATATAGAGTAGAGAGCGGAATTGTGCATAAAAAAATCACAGATTATGTATAGTGCGTCAAAAACTTATTTCATATAGAAATTGACTAATAAAGAAGTGTGTTTTTTAGAAAATTAAAAAGAAAAAATTGTCAACAAAAAGTTTGTTTATAGATTTTACTAATAATATGTATCTACATATGCGATTCAATATGTAACATATATATTATTAGCTTGTAATTTGTGTGACCTATTTTGTAACTTTGGATTGACATTTGTTGAATAATAAATTCTCAAAAGATATATATTTTAAATTTTTTAATTAAAATGATTACAATTGAAAAATTCAACAATTACAATTTTAATGAATAAGAAGGAAATTGAAACAGTATTACGAAATAAAAAGAAGATAACAAGAAATGACTAAAAAATTCAAGAAATGAAAGAAAAGAATAACAAACTTGGAATTGTAAGGTCAAAAGAAATATTAACATCATATATAATGGACTCTGGATTGAAATATTGCAACTACAAATTTGAATTATAGAATGTTAGAAACAACAAAAGGAGAGTTTGGCATGACTAAAAAATCAATAAAATGAATGAAAGAAATCACAAACTTGGAATTGTGCGATAAAAATATATTAACATCCTAAATAATAGTTTTTCTTTGGTACAGCTTTTAATTTCATCATCATCTCCTCTTTATTTTGCCTTATTTTCCTTCAGCCTAGCCAAGCAATAATCCGTTTTTTGATTAAAAAACAAAACACAGGTTAATTGTATACTACTTTTATTGGTTTATTATTTAAGAAAAAAAATCATTAAATTGTTAGTTTTTTTATACCTTACACTTTGCTTAAACCGTCTTAACACATTTATTTTCATCCACACAACGAACATAAACTTGAGATTCTTGCAAGTATTTATAGGGGAAATGTTGGAGGTGAAAACCGCACCCCGGTTTTCTCCGGTACAAACTGAGATCGGCAAACCATAAGCCCGGTTTACGAAGGGATGTACCGAGAGAAGATGGGCCGAGCGAAGATGGGCCGAAGATAGCCCATTAGGCCGAGGTCGGTGGGAAACCTCTCAAAGGAATAGAAGGTTTCCTTGAGCTCGGCCGAAACAGGAAAGTTTCCTGAAGGAAAAAGGAAACTTCGGAGAAAAAAGGAAAGGAACCGAGAGAAAAGGAAACTCCTCTCGGTCCCATATCGTCTAAGGCGTGCTTGAAGACCGACTTATGAGATATATATAAAGGGAGACGAATCGACATCAGAGAACATAAGCTATTCCCAAGAAGACTTAAAGACTGAGAACTAGTTACGACAGTTTCTTAGTCGCATCAAGTCCTAGTTCGTTATTGCCTATCGAAATAACCGAACTCAGTTGTATTTCACTTGATTCAATCTAATAAAACCGAGCTTCCGATCTAAATTACTGTTTTGTCCCTTGTCGATATTCACATATCAACAATTGGCGCGCCAGGAAGGGGGCTTTAAATAGACATCTCAGATTTTTGATCGGACTTCGGAAAGATTGAATCAGCGATGGCAGACCAATCCGACGTTCACGAAGAAGAAAACCCTCTCAGGGAAAATAACATCAACGCCCAAACAGGACAAACGGGAGGAACTCCTGGAGAAAACACCGGAACTGCTGCCGAGCAAACTCCCGCAGCCGTAACCGACCTGTTACTCCAAATGTTCACTGCTCAGTTCGAAGCCATCAACAAAAGGAGCGAGGAACGTTTCAGTCAGATGGCGGCACAGATCGCCGAACTCAGTGTACGTTCGGCGTAACATCTGGAGAATTCCTCGGATATATCGTCACACGACGAGGCATTGAAGCTAATCCGAAGCAGATCGCCGCTATTCTCGAGCTCCCCTTGCCGACAACCAAACGCGAAGTTCAGCGACTTACCGGACGTATTGCAGCACTTAACAGATTCATATCTAGATCAACGGACAAGTGCTTGCCCTTTTACCAACTTCTCCGCGGTAACAAGCACCTCGAATGGAACGAGAAGTGTGAAGAAGCCTTCGCCGAGCTAAAGGAATATCTGTCCATTCCGCCAGTTCTGTCCAAACCAGACACCGGTGAGACGCTTTATCTTTACATCGCGATTTCGGAGTTCGCAGTTAGCAGCGTTCTTGTTCGAGAAGATCGCGGCGAACAAAAACCAATTTTCTACACGAGCAAGTCCCTCGACGGATCGGAGTATCGTTATCCGACTTTGGAGAAGTTCGCCTTCGCCGTGGTTATTTCTGCACGGAAACTACGCCCGTACTTCCAGTCTCACGCAATCGTGGTCTTGACCGATCACCTTCTTCGCACTTTCCTTCACAGCCCAAGTCAGTCTGGACGACTCGCTAAGTGGGCTATCGAACTTAGTGAATATGACATCGAATACCGGAACAGAACGGCAACGAAGTCTCAGGTCCTAGCAGATTTCTTGGTCGAACTCCCACCGGAGCTCGTCGAAGATAATCCGGTCGTACAACCCTGGATTCTTCACGCCGATGGTTCATCATCCCATAAAGGATCCGGAGTTGGAATACGTCTCAAATCACCCGAAGGAGAAGTAATCGAGCAGTCATTTCGGCTCGGCTTCCCAGCATCCAACAACGAAGCCGAGTACGAAGCATTGATTGCCGGACTACGACTCGCTAAAGGTATCGGCGCCGAGCACGTACATGCCTATTGCGATTCTCAACTCGTAGCCAACCAGTTTCACGGCGAATACGAGGCCAAGAACAACCGCATGGACGCATATCTCAAAATTCTTAAGGATATTGCTTCAGAGTTCTCCACCTTCGAGCTTACAAAGATACCTCGAGACGAGAATGCAACCGCCGACGCCTTAGCCGCACTCGCGACTAATTCCGATCCTGATCTTCGGCGAACTATCCCGATTGCAGCAATCGAGCGACCAAGTATCAAGCACGATCTGAACTGCAATATCGTTACAAGACGGCGTGACTATGAAGCCCAGCCAAACCGTGCTCCACCCCTCACCCGAAAGACGAAACCTAAAGAGGTCATCCCCAATCGCGAAAACGATACAGACGAGCTTAACGATAACGAGCCCGAATCCAAGGACGAGTCCGAAGGCCAGCACGTCCCCATCAATATTGAAGCCAAAGGAGACGACGAACCCGAGGATTGGTCCTTAGAAATCGTGGGATACATAGGAGATGGAACGGTTCCCGCAGATAAATGGGCAGCTCGGCGCCTTAAGGCTCGCGCAGCCCGGTATGTGGTCATTAAAGGTACTCTTCTCAGATGGGACGCTTCTGGTGTACTTTTGACTTGTGTTCACGGCAACGACATCGCGGAAGTAATGCAAAAGATTCACGAAGGAGAAGGAGGAAATCATTCCGGAGCTCGGTCCTTGGCATTTAAGATCAAGAAAGCCGGCTACTACTTGCCTACTATGCTCTCTGATTGCGAGAAGTACACGGCACGTTGCGAGAAGTGCCAACGTCATGGTCCGATGATAAATCTTCCTACCGAGCTCCTGATGACCTCGACTGCACCATATCCTTTCATGCGCTGGGCAATGGACATCATCGGTCCTTTTCGCCGATCTACGACCCAGAAGCAGTACGTCCTCGTCGTCACAGATTACTTCACCAAATGGGTTGAAGCCGAAGCATACCCCGAGATCCATGGAATCGACGTCAAGAAGTTCGTCTGGAAGTTCATCATCTGTCGACACGGAGTTCCGTACGAGATCGTTACGGACAATGGAACCCAGTTCACTTCGATAATTTTCCAAGATTTTTGCGCCAAGTGGAAAATCCGACTAAGTTTCTCAACCCCGCGTTATCCGAAAGGCAACGGACAAGCCGAAGCCACGAACAAGACCATCATTGACGGACTGAAGAAACGACTCGATATCGCTAAGGGAACGTGGGCAGACGAACTCGACGGCGTCCTGTGGTCTCACCGAACGACACCGCGACGTTCAACCGGTCAGTCACCTTTCTTCCTTGCGTATGGCGCAGAAGCTATGTGTCCAGCCGAACTTAACGTCCCAAGCATTCGCCGAACTATGCTTACCCAGCAACCCGAGGCGAATGACAATATAATGATCGACGCACTTGACTTAATCGAAGAACATCGCGAACGAGCACTACTCCGGATACAGAATTACCAACAACTTGCAGCTCGTTACTACAATAAAAAAGTTAAGGGCCGTCACTTCGAAGACGGCGACCTCGTACTTCGTAAAGTCTATCAAAACACCGAAGAGAAGAACGCAGGAAAACTTGGCGCGAACTGGGAAGGACCATATCAGATTATGAAGGTCGTTAAGCCCGGCGTTTATCAACTCATGAAATTAGACGGAACTCCGATCCCGCGATCTTGGAACTCGATGCATCTCAAACGATACTACTACTAGTCCGCTTCGAAGCGCCAAAACAAAAAAAAAAAAAAAAAAAAAAAGCCTCCGAACTACTTAGTCGGAGCAAAAACCCCTTTTGTACTTAGAACTACGAATGGCTTGATCCCTTTAAAGGGTACGTAGGCAGCTCGTTACCGAGTCCAGCTATAACATCAATAAAATTTTATTAAGTCAAGATATGACTAAGTGTTAGTCCGAAATCACAAGGGACCGAACTCCTTGTCTTTACATCGACTTCCTGGCCAGTTGTTCGATAGCATTCCACATGAATGTAAACTTAAAAGCCGAGATCCGTCTCGCGAGCACCCACATGATGTCGTGGTTAAGCCACATATCAAAAGCCGGGCCCAGTCCCGCAGTTAAGTTTCTAAGTCACCAAGAACAATAAGCCGAGCACATCTCGCATACTTAGGTTCGACTTAGAAAAACCTTGAATTCGTTTCGTGCGTTTACAGGAGTTCGAATCTAATTCACTCTTCCAGTACGAAACGATTCACTTGGGTTCCCCAGGCCGAGCTCATACGCTCGCACAATAAGCCGAACTCCTCAGATTCGCACCGTAAGCCGAGTTCACAACACTCGCAAAACGTAAGCCGAATTATCGCAATTCGCTATCAAAAGATAATAATTACGTTCGAATATCTACTATATACCGATCTAATACTTAAGCATTAATCGCAAATCTTAACGACGACATAAAGTTAAATCGAAGGTTAGATGCCGATCTACTACTTGAAAGATTTTTCTAACTTTTAATGACAAGGAAAAACGAACGCATAAAATAAAAAGCCCCGAGAGGCAAATAGAGTCAGAACCCACCAAGGGCTCGGAATTAGAATTACAAAAAGAAACCCATGCAAGGGCAGTTAAGTTCGAAGAGTAAAAGAAAAATAGGAAGAGATTAGATGGTCTTCGAGGCAGCAGCGTTGAGTATGTCCTCGTTTGAGCCGAACTGCTCGCCCCTCGCAGGATCTTGTGCGCTCTGAGTCACATTTACGACCGGGATGTCATCTTCCTCTACGAACGGAGACATCTTCTTGTCCTCCTCAGTGAGCGCGCAAGCATCGATCGCCTTGAAGTCCTCCAGCGCCTTGGCATGCCTTGCTTCAATATCCGCAACTATTTCTGGCGGGACCTCGTACAGACCCTTCCTCCGCAACTGCTTGATGAAACCGAGGACCCCGGTGAGCTGGTTGTAGACCAAGTACGGCTTCCGAGCCCTGTCAGCATCATCCAAACTCCGAATGACCTTCTCAAGGCGTTCGCAAGCCGTTGCGTGAACGCTCCTAGCTCGATTCTTCCAGTGCACCACCATACCTTGTAGTCGCCCTTTGTCCTTCTCGAACTCTTTGGAGAGTAAATTCTGGGCCTCGGTGAGCTCGTCTTTCACCGCCTTCAGCTCTGCACTCTCCTTTTTCAGCAAGTCAAATTGAGAGTGCAGAGTTTCGTTGATTTGGAGCTCAGTGGCGAGACGCTCCTCTGCTTTGGCTATCCTTTCTTCGAGCTCGGAGACCCTTACTTGCTCGTCGAACAGGGCTACTTCATATGCAGCGACCAAGTTATTGGTCTGACTGGCGAGCTGCACAGAGGAAACAGGAATTAGAACTCATACTTGGAATAATATCTAAGTCTATAAGGGGTAAGTAAAATTACCACAGCGGTCGAGTGAGCGATTCCCTTGTACATGTTGGGAAACCGGAGCTCGGGGACCGAGGGAAGGCTAGGTACCTCCGAGGAGATCTTATGATAGAGCTCGGCGCAGGCATCTACGTTCTCCTCAAAAGGAGTCTCCTCGTCGTAGTCAAAACAAACTCGGACTCTCTTAGCCGGCCCGTGCTCTTGAGAGCCCTCGACATGATCTCTGGTTTGCCTTTTTCGGGAGTGTGAAGCTTCAGCTCGATCTTGCGAGAGCGCGAGGCCCGACGCCACAGCTGCCGGTGGATCGAGCTCGGCGGGAGTATCTTGCACCCGAGAAGAGTCCTCTGCTTTCTTACTCTTCTTCGAAGACTTCTTCTTCTTCGTCTTCCTCTGATCAACCTGATCAGGTGAGCCCGCAGCAGGTGGCAACTCTTCTGGCTGCACTTCGTTCTGTTCAGCAGCAAGGACTGGGGTCGGCTCAGCCACCTCCGTTTCTTCTTCATCAAAGAGAGTTGGGATTTCGTCAATGGAAAGCATCCTGGCAGCTCGGGAGCGTTGAGTTCGCGACTTCAGTGATTGGCGTTTGGGAGCGGTTCGAGGCTTGCTAGCTCGAGCTCTCGGCTTGCGTTGTTTTGGTTCTCGAACGGAGCCTGAAATGAAAATAAGTTTAAGGAGGAGTTCGGAGCAATTCCAGATAAAGTGAATAAAGATAGAATTCGATGAACATACCCGCTTTCTTAGCTCGGCGTTGTAGGATTTCTTCCCAAACCTCCGGCCAACGACGTTTACCGGCTTCGCTGAATGCTACTTCAAACTCAGAGGTGAGTCCGGAGTTGAGAAGGAGACTCGGAAGATGACGACCTACGAAAATAAGACGAAGTCGAGTTAGCAAGCAGTAAAAGTCGAAAGTTATCTAAGTGTGAAATCATCTAATCTACCAATCGGAATCTTCCAATTCGACTGAATTGCGATGTCAGAATTGCTGACGGTGAGATCGTTCATTTCGATATAGAAGTACTGGGACTCCCAATCGTTGAATTTACTGGGCTTAGGTCCCATAACTAAATTCTTCTTCGGCTTGGCATTGGCGGCGAAGAACCACTCCTTGGACTTATGGATATTGACCGAGAAGAGGTCTTCGAAAATTCGACTCGATGGTACTTCGCCAAGCTCGTCGCATAAGGAAACGAACCCAACGTAGTTCGTTATTGAGGCTGGCATCACCTGTGTGAGAGCTACGCCGCGCCGATTGTAGTATCCCAGTAGGCGAGAGGGAATGGGGAAAGAAAGCCCGCACTGAGTGAAGTACGTCAGATAGACGCAAAGGAAGCCCTCGGGAGCATCCCACGGCCGATCTCTAGCCTCCGGAATGATGAAAATAATCTTGTCCGCAAGCCCGTTTGCCTCGAGCACGGCTCGAACGGCACCAGGAGAAAGGGAACAAGAGGGCACGTTGTTGGGACGAACTACTTTCCGCCTCGGAAGTGGTGGCGAAGCATGAATAACCGCCTCAATGTTGTCGACTTCAGTATCAACAACGTTCTCCCCCTGAAATTCTTCCTCGATCTCCTTGATCTCGGGGGTGTTAGCATCAACGTTCGGTCCAGCCCGAGCTTCCGTTTCGCGAGTGTCTGCAGTCAGATCTTCGGTAGCTTCAATTCTAACTCTAGCACGGCTGCTGCTAGCTTCTGCAGATCTAGAGTTCTTACGAACTAATTGGGGAAGATTGCTTTCTTCCCGTGATGAACTTGACTGCTGAGGGTTTGAAGAAGAGGAGCTCGGCTCCGAGGACTCACGGTGGTCTTCCGGAAGAATTTTATTCGAGGAAGAATTAATCGAAGAGCTGGAAGACATTTTAGGGTTTGGGAAAGAAGATTTGAAGGAAATAAGGAACAATTTGAAGATCAACCGGAAAGTTTGAAGGTTGATCGGAAAAATCAAGAGTTCGCGGCGGCGAGAGTTGAAGAAACGAGAGAAAACGAAGAACAAAAACTAGAGAGAGAAATAAAATCTAGAGAGAAGGGAGAGCGGCGTACCTTATATATGCTTGAGGCGGGAATAATGAATGCGAGAAGAAGAGTTACCCTTTATACACAGTGGGAATCGTGGGTTCCTCGATTTTCGCGAAAAATCCCGTAATTCACGCGCCTCATTGAAGATAGGCGCGGAACGTCCGGAAATGCGAAACGACGACAGTTACCGAGCTCAGTTTGTGATCCAATAACCGAAGAATTGAGTTCAACTGAAAGTCACCTCCTTTCACCGAACTGAGGGGGGGGCTAACTGTTGGAGGTGAAAACTGCACCCCGGTTTTCTCCGGTACAAACTGAGATCGGCGAACCATAAGCCCGGTTTACGAAGGGATGTACCGAGAGAAGATGGGCCGAGCGAAGATGGGCCGAAGATAGCCCATTAGGCCGAGGTCGGTGGGAAACCTCTCAAAGGAATAGAAGGTTTCCTTGAGCTCGGCCGAAACAGGAAAGTTTCCTGAAGGAAAAAGGAAACTTCGGAGAAAAAAGGAAAGGAACCGAGAGAAAAGGAAACTCCTCTCGGTCCCATATCGTCTAAGGCGTGCTTGAAGACCGACTTATGAGATATATATAAAGGGAGACGAATCGACATCAGAGAACATAAGCTATTCCCAAGAAGACTTAAAGACTGAGAACTAGTTACGACAGCTTCTTAGTCGCATCAAGTCCTAGTTCGTTATTGCCTATCGAAATAACCGAACTCAGTTGTATTTCACTTGATTCAATCTAATAAAACCGAGCTTCCGATCTAAATTACTGTTTTGTCCCTTATCGATATTCACATATCAACAGGAAATAATAAAAATCATTTTAAAAATTTGTGTTTAGTTTGGTCAAAAATAATGTGTTAGTTGTTAATTTTTTTCATTATATCTTATACCTTGGTTCAACCTTCTCGGTTCAACATTCTCAAACACATCTAGTTTATGCAAATTGATCTATAAAACGAACATAGACTTAAGATTCTTGCAAGTATCTGGAAGAAAAAATATATGTTAGTATGCAGAGAAATACAATAAGAAATTTTACCTCTAATTTCTTATATAAGATATTGCCTCTAAATCCTATTGTGCAAAGATCTTACAAAATTACAAACTAATATAAATATACACACAATATAATAAAAATGCAAAGACAAAAAAAATGTAAATAGTTTAGCTCTTGTCCATGCATTGTTGTTTTAAAATGGCATGTGGTTTGAGAGTAGTGAAAGAAATGATGAACTTGCAATACATATATATATATATACAGTGGTATATTTAGCTTTAAAAGTTTAATTAGGATAATTTTTTATTAATTTTATTTATTAGTGTGCTTAATGCACCAAAT